CGAATATGGCACTCATTTCTAAATCCAAGATGGCGGACACGAGTTTTCAAATAAATGCAATATGGGTATCATTTTCGAGGTACTTGGGGGTGCTCATTACGAATATGGCACTCATTTGTAAATCCAAGATGGCGGGCACGATTTTTTCAAAAAAATGCTATGTGGGTATCATTTTCGAGGTATTTGGGGATGCTCAATGTGAATATGGCACTATTTGTAAATCCAAGATGGCGGGCACGATTTTTCAAATAATGGCAAGTTGGGTATCGTTTTCGAGGTATTTGGGGGTGCTCATTACGAATATTGCTTTTGTTTGAACTGTCGTGTTTGCCATCTTGGATTTAGAAATGAGTCCCATATTTGTATTGAACATTCCCAAACATCTCGAAAACGATACCCAACTTGCCATTATTCGAAAAATCGCGCCCGCCATTTTGGATTTAGAAATAAGTGCCATATTCGAAACCTAAAACCGAAAATGCCATAAGCAAACATTAAAGAAAATAACTGTTAAAATAGATTAAAAAAATCGCTTAAGAATGCTCCCCTTTTAAGAAAATAAAATATTTCAATATAAAATATTTCGCTTGAGTTACGAAAAGAAAGACATAAAATAAGCTATCAAAGTTGTACTGGTGGTGCCAACACTATAGTAGAAACAAATATATACTGTAAATTTGTTGCAATATGTGCTCCAATTCAAATAAAATTAAAATAAATAATTATTCAATAAAGCATGAACGCAGAGCCGTTAAAAGTATTATAAAATAATTAAGTGTCCCAATCACTTACAGGAGTTAACGAAAACATTTAATGTTTATTCGAGTAAATATTAGTTCAAAATGCGCAAATAAATCGAAATTACAGGCTCCACTAAAATTTACGTAATATAATTATTTTGATACAGAATAGCAAAATGGGGAGAAAAAAAATTCGTTACTTTGCAACACTTTCGTATCTTGTTGCCGCGAAATTATTTTTCTGTTTTAGTGAATATTTACATAAAAATATGAGTTGAAACGCATTACTTACTTGTGGAATGCGATGTTAGTGTCTATTTTGTTTGTCTGTTGTATTTTTACACCCATTTACCGCACATTTCGTCATTTTTAGCAAAAAATTTTGGAGATGTTCGCGGTGCAATATGACCTTGAGCACTAACAGCCCGCGCGCTCCTGGGACGCGTTTGGAACCCTCTAACTTGCCTCACTTAGCGTGTGCGGGCTAGGTTTCTATGCGTTATTATTCTAAGAATGGCGGTATTTTTGTTTTTTTTTTGTAAATAAACAGATGGCCAGCTATTCTTCCATAACTATTACAACTTGAATTAGGTACAATGTTGTAAAAGCATTGTGTAAAAACGAAAAAAAAAAAAAGGTAAAAACGCATACAGCCATGATGGTCAAGATATAAAATAAATAATTTCAAAATACTAAGAATGCTGCAGAATTTGAATGTATAAAATTAATTTAGCAAATTATTAGTTTTTTTCTATATTTCAAGCTTATATGAAGCAATTCAGATTTTTCGAGCATTAAAACTTTTTGTTTAACCTTGACGTATAAGAGAAGTACAGTGCAATTAAATTTATAAAATCCGTAACCGCCAAAGGGCGGTAATATGATTAAAAAAAGCTCGTGACCGTAATTCAGCACATTACAGTCGACTTTACCTGACTTCCACTGCATCGAATGCAGACAGTTCTTAACGTTGTATCATAATTACGTGCTAAAAAAGTTGCGTGTACTATTTCCAGGTGACGGTAATATTTGATCTAGAAGGGTTCGTGATGAGGCAGTACGCATGGCGACCAGCAGCTGAGATGGTTGTCACGCTCCTTAAAGTCTACGAGGCTAACTATCCTGAAATCCTTAAAACCTGCTTCATTGTTAATGGTAAGTTGGAACTGAGTCTAAATACTTAGCAAGCCTATAATAGTTTCAACTTCTTGGTTTGAAGAAAGATGAATTCCTTCAAACTAGATTTTTTATGTTATGAAGATTTCAAGTGACGGGACGACCCAGTCGTGCGCCTGGTTTGACAAAGGATAGGCCTTTCCATGACAGTTCCAGTAACACTCTTAAGCTTTAAATCACAAAGATCTGAGGGAAACTGACACTGCGCCCGTCACCATGAGACATGTGCATGTAATTTTACCACCACACTTACCTTTCAAAATTGGAACACAGTAATGTTCACATTACTGCTTGGCGGCAGAAAAAGGTAACGTGTCAGTACTTCCCTGGATGACCTCTTTCACAAGGATCTCTACTGCTGCTAAAATTCCATTGTTACAATGTCGAGAAAACATAATCCATCAATTGAACAGTCTTTGCAGGTCTTTCGTAACTTTAAATAGTTTAATCTCATTTAATTGTTTATATCTACAAAACACTTCTACTGTTTATTCGTCTGTAGAGCCGGACAGTTTCTGTTTACCGACTTCGCCACGGTCTCATGCTTTAGTTTGTACGGAAAAAACATATACCTTACTTGTCAAATTGTCAACCTGGAGCATGAATCCAAACATGGAACTTCCGTTATCCGAAACAGATCATGGTAATGTCAAACATGTCTCAATGCTTCACATTGTAATAGTAAATTGTGTCATAAGGGCAGTAAGTAGGCAATTAGACACGAACAGAGGGACATTCAAGGCGAGGGCGGTAATGGCTTGAGCGTTTGTAATTGCTGTTCTGCCCGAGTAGCATACATAATAGCATGAAGTCGCAAAAGGTTACATACACAACTCCAGCGCACTAGGATGACAAAAATCCGTGCCTGTTTGTATCTATGATATTCGAAAGAAATGTTGTAAATTATAAATTTGTATAAATGTTTATTTACCAAGAGCAACCCCTATGTTTTGCTCATTCTTCTCAGGGAAATCTGTCTTACGAATGAGCAGTAGAGCTTAATTTAATATGACGATTGCTTATGAAACAAAGATTATTTGATTTTGACTTTAAGCAAAGTATAACGAGTCCTCTCATTATAAAATCAGTTACTACAGCTCTAGGAAAGTATGCAAACACGAGGAACTCTGTTTTGACGTGAGTGTCAGTAGGTAAACCATACATATCTACATCGACAATTACCGTCAAGTGAAATCGCGGTCAATCGCTCGGCTAGGGAGTTACTTACTAACGGAATCGGCTTGATCCGATCAGAAAAAGCTTTATATCTATGCAATAAGAGCGAAAGAGCTCCTGCTCGAACCGCCTGACGCAAATCGCACATCTTCCTGTCCCGCTTTTAAGGTTCGTGTCTTGCCGTCCCCAAAATATGTAAAAATATCCCCCTTTGCCTAAACAGGACGGGTGACAATCATGTGACAATGTATAAATTTAAAAGAATGGCGCGAAAGCGTAGCAGCAAGTAAGCCATGTCGTCTGCGTGTTATAAACATGTAGTTGTGTTCTTGGCGGGAATGAATCGGTGGTGATACCGGTCTCGGCCCGTCGAGCGTATTTAAAAACGAAACCTGAGAAACTCCGATTACAAAATGACAAATTGCTCGTTCGAAAATTATTTAAAGTTTTGTTCCTATTTTAATTTTTGATCATTTTAAATATTTCAAATTCTTTTAAAATTTTTATAATCACTATGTTTACATTTCATAACTACCATAAACATGTGTTTTATTTTTAAAACAAAAATAAATTTAGAGGTACACGCGTTCCGCCTAAAAGGAAAAAAATATATAGTTATGTTTTATAATGATCGATATAACAACAAATGATCTATTTTCACTTGGTATAATAATCAAACTAAATCATCATCTTATTTATGAGCCAGACTCTTGTCGATATAGCCTCCTCCACTCCTCTCGGTTCATGGCCAGTTCTTTGACCTCTCTATAGCTGTTCACATTGATATTTTTTGTTTGTCCACTATACGCCATTCTTGGTCTTCCTCTCTTTCTATTCCCTTCTATCAAACATTTTCCCCCTTCTCCTCTCTCATTCAAAAGACTTCTCTCCTCCCCAACCCTTTCCAAAACCTTCTCATTTGATCTCATTTCTATTCATTTTATTTTTTCCATTCGCCTCCAGCGCCACATTTCAAATGACTCCAATATCTCTTTGTCTTTGTTTGTTATTGTCCATGTCTCGCATCCACACAGTGCGGTACTCCAGACATAGGTTTTGATGAATTTTTGTTTCAATAATATAGGTATTTTAGAGGGTAAAATGTGTTTTTTATTAGGGAAAGCCTGTTTTGCTATTGTGACTCTAGTTTTTATGTCAGTGGTACATTTGGAGTCTTCTGTGATAATACTACCAAGATATTTGAAATGTGGTACCTGCTCTACTGGAATGTCATTTATTTTGATGGGTGTAATTTTGGAAGGATGTTTTGCAGTTACTTATACTTTGGTCTTATTTTTGTTATATCGTATTATAATAAACACTGGTACAATTTCAAAGGACATAATCACTCATGGGATATAATTAATATGTGCTACGTTAACAAAAGGTACATTATGTACTTATAACAAACCTTCAGTACAACAAACGCTAGATTATAATGATTAACTATCATAATTAATTAATGGTATAAATATTACTAGATTCATGTACCTGTTAAATAATATAATACATAATTTAGCCTTGGGGGAGGTATCAGTTCATCTTAAAGATTAATTTTAATGTGATATCGAGCCTAATACACACACTCCTCTTAAATTAGGCAGTGGGATTATTATTTGTAATACATCCATACTCAACGAATGATATACCTATCGGAAATTTCTATATAAAATGTTCATTATACAATGGTATCCAATCCAAGGTACACCAATGTAATGATTGAAAGTTGTTATATCAATTGTTTAAAACACCTACCCAATAATACTTTATATCATGCAAGAATATACAAAAATTGTCTTTTAGTATAGTCATTATGTCATGTAGACTAAAAATATGTCATTAGTTCATAGGAAATGAAAGTATTTTTCCGTATTTAAATCGCGTATATTTGTTTTATTCAAACAAACCAAAGTTTCGGGCCCTTTACAGCTCCCATGGCCAATTGTTATTAAGTTAGATTTATTATTAATTAATAATGGAAATTAGAATCATTTAAAACATATTAATCTACTGATTAATTAATTACTGCAGTGTTATGTATGTTTGGAATTTTTCATCAGAGGAAATAATGGATCTCAAACTGGTGGTACGGAGAAACCATTGAAATGAAGTTTTTTTTTTAATTTCAATGGCCTCTCGCAGCATCCTGAGAAGAACCCGGAGTTTGTCAAACTTGATTGACTGTGTAATATTAGACATAACTGGTTGATGACTTTACCACGTCAGTCAACCGTGACCATGAGACCTATAAAGGGGCCCGAAACGTTGGTTTGTTTAAAAAAACAAATATACGCGACTTAAATCCGGAAAAATAGTTTCTTTTCCTATGTGTAACAATCGCGAAAACCTAAGAACTATATATGTCGTTTGTTGTTCTATCGAACCAATGATATTGTGGTCACTGTATCGAACGAACCACACCTGAGCAGTGACTTTTTCTGACCAATAAATCCCTTATACCAACTGAATACTTACCCCTCATTCTCCTCTCTATTTCAGCTCCTAAAGTATTCTCTCTAGCGTTCAACTTTATCAAGAAGTTCATGCATGAATATACAATATCCAAGATTAGTATCTACGGTAGCGACGCCAAGAAGTGGCAGCAGCAAGTTCTGACCATGATAGACGCAGATCAGTTGCCGGTACACTATGGAGGCACTGTTGTTGATGAGAATGGCGACCCGAGATGTAGCGCAATTGTAAGTATCCCTTTTCCTACTACTATAATGTTTAAAATCTCGTGGTTGAAGTATCGGAGAGACTGGTTCCACCTTAGCACACGCTCCCTCTTTCGTGCGGCAGCTTCAAAAATGAGAATAGCCGTAATGGTCGTCTTCGTAGAGAAGCAGCATACTAAGAAGATAACGTTTACCCGTTTTAGAGGGAGGGAAGAGGTTACCTATCAGTAGTTCGAAATGACATTTTCCAGAAATAATGTTTGGTCGAAATTTCTTGTATACCCCAAAAAATTGAGCGTCGCATTGTGGTGAATCTTCGGGATCCCACGACGCCGACAACACCTGGCCTAGATTGTAAGTCGGAGGCGTTTTAGTGTGCCCTCCACTTGGAGCACAGGTTCCCAAAGTTTTTGGCTTACCGCTCTCTCAGCCAAGAAAAAAAATTTCAACGCCCACCACTTAAAAAAATAATTACACGTATTTTTTATATTAACTTTTGTGATTTACAATGAGCCAATTCACGAGCCATTCCGTTAAGCCAAGCCATTATTGACGATATGTAAATAAAGACGATAGATATATAGATAGATAAAAAATCATTTCATTGATGATGGTATTTGTTATCGAATATTGTTTAAATTGATACCGTTAAGTAAGAAACACAATAATTTAATGTCACAGTTCATAACGTTGGCTTACCACCCACTTAGCCAAATAAAAAAATTTCAAAGCCCACCACCACAAAGAATAATTGAAAACACATATTTTTTATATTAACCTAACACAAAAAAATCACGAGGAAAAAAATTGTATACATGTTGTGTAGTTTTTAAAGACAATTAAGTAGCAATACATTTTAGTAGCAGTAGAGCTCCTTGTGAAAGATGACGTCAAACACCGTCGCGTAAACAAGTCTGCAGTCTGCGAGCATGTCATGGATAAACCTACACATTCAATGAAGTTTGACAAACCCCAGGTCCTTGCAAAAGAAGTCCGTTATCTGCCCAGGATGCTGCGAGAGGCCATTGAAATTAAAAAACATCCTAATTTCAACAGGGAAGATGGTTTCTCCGTACCACCAGTTTGGGATCCAGTATTTCCTCTAATGAAAAATCCCAAATAGACATAAGACTGCAGTACTAATTAATATGTTTTAATTTATTCTAATTTCTATTAATAATTAATAATAAATTAAACTTAATAAAAAATTCATTCAATAAAATAATTTGTAAAACTTAATGTAGCGTAAATTGGAATGTTTTCTTTGTAAAATTAAAAATAAGGTATTTAATTAATAACTATTGTAACTATAGTGAAAAAATAGGGTGGTTTGCATCAATATTAGACATAACTGGTTGAAGACTGTACCACCTCAGTCAACCGTGACCATGGGACCTGTAAAGGGCCCGAAACGTCGGTTTGTTTGAAAAAACAAATATACGCGATTTAAATCCGGAAAAATAGTTTCATTCCTTGTGAAAGAGTTCGTCCAGGGAAGTGCTGCCCTTACCTATTTCTGCCACTAAGCAGTAATGTGAACTTTACTCCATTGCGGTTTTGGAGGGTGCTGGTGAAATTACAGGCACATGGGACTTGTTAACTTATGTCTCAGAGTGCTAGAGATAGGCGCTGTGGCAGTTCCCCTTAGATCTTTGCAATTTAAAGCTCTGAGTGGCGCTGCTACTGTTATGGACAGGCGTGTAGCCTACCATGAGGCGCACGACTTGTTCGTCCCGTCGCTTGATATTGGTACTTGGTACTTGGTGTAACGGGCTGGTATCTCCAACTCGACGTCAAGGCGCCTATTTCACTTGATATTATTTATATATATTATAGATAATTCAGGTTTTGGACAGTATCAACGCCACCCAATTGCTACCGCCCCTTAGGATTCTATGGGCGGTAGGGACCACTTTGGGAAACCATGCGCTAACTAGTAGTTTGAATTTTAATAGAAACGTGATTGCATTTGAAGAAATTATCTTAATCTTATTTATGTTAATAACAAGCCCACTGTTAGCTGATTAAAACGCGGTAAAATTTTATATATACGTCACTCGAATAAAAGTGAAAAAACAAACGTGAATCCCACCCGGATCTGGATTATGGAACCGGATTAAGTGAACTAACGAATTTCCTGTCTTCAAATTCGATTGCAGATTTGCGGGCCAATATGAGTTGTTGGTAAACCCCAAGAAAATTAAACAGCAATTATGAGTCATACATTCGAGGTAGAATTAAAAAATCCCCACGCAAGAGTTCCAAATTTATTTAAAATAAATTTTGAAACATTGGTCTTTATCTGGTAATTGCAATATTGTTGGCTTACCACGGACCCTTTAATCTATTTCCATACCACTATCTTGTTTCACAACAAGATAATGTATCTTGTTGCAATAAACAAGATAGTGCATTTTTTTATTCTGGTTTGACATAACGTCAATTGCATAAGATGTGCATATTTTTTCATGTCGTCGCTGACATTAAATTATTAAGACAACGAATTATAGAATGATATTGATTTTGTTGAATATCATCGTGTTTTATTAGTTTATTGGCATGATATTAATTTATTTTTTGTGAAGTTACTCTCGATCGAACTTAAAAAGAAAAGATTTCTTCGATCTTTTTTTATAATACCAAGTGGAGAGACGAACAGATCGTACGCCTGGTGGTAAGCGAAAAGCGACACGCCTGTCCATAACAATTGCAGTGCCACTCAGTGCGTTAAATCACAAAGCTCTGAGGAACACTGCCACTGCGCCCGTTACCCTGAGACATAAGTTGACAAGTCTCATGTGCCTGTAATTTCACCAACACCCTTACCCTTCAAAACCGGAACACAGTAATGCTTACATTAAGTGGCAGGTAAGGTAAGGTGGCAGTACTTCCCTGGACGAACTGTTTTATACGGAGCTCTAGATCGAACCTGCGTCTGTATGCCAATCTATCTATGGCAGCTTACGAGCCCTGTCACATTGAAGGGATTGTTCTTTGTATTTAATGTTTTTATAAATTATTAATACAAATGATCTTATACAATGATTTCAATGTTGTTACATATTTTATCGACAGTCGGCATTCTATGTACCTATGATCATGAGTGGCCGGAAAAGTTACGTGAAATCGCTAGCTCAGGGGAGGCCATCTTTGCTGCGGAAACATGTCGTCTACTTTTGTCACGCCTTTTGGTAGTCTTACTTCCGGACATGAATTGCCATGGTTGACGTGGAAGTCTTAATAGGCTTCGGGCTCAGGTTGGCCGGAGACAAATTTATTTATTTATTTATTATATTACATATTGCTTACAGATTAATATCCAAACACAATAGTAATTCTTAAGCTAATATCATATATTGAAATAATAATGTAATCATACTTAATAAAGAATAGATACAAAATAAATTGAATGAAAATTTACAAATAATTGAATTTTATATATTGCATAAAATAAACTGAATAAAAAATTAGATAAAAATAACAAATCATGGAATTGGACATTACATTATTAACAATCAAATTTTAAAACATTAACATAGTATTAATTATTCAGGATGCACAATACTTATGTGATGCTACTGTCCATGGTCAATGACTCGAGATATCGTCCCGCGGAAACCGTAATTAATTAGTTACGGTGGGGATTTTCGGAAGCTTCTAGCCCAGATTGTTTGTATAGTGCGATTCAGAATGGATTCAGATGACGGTCAACCACACGTCGTTCCTTGCGTACGCGTACGTAACACCGACACGATTTTAACCATTTAATTGCGCGAATACTGACGCGATCGATATGGCTAATTTCAGGGTCGCAAAAATATTATAATGGTTTATGATATCAATACGATAATGCTTAATTTATATTGCCGTGAAGTTTTGTAACCATAGCAGAATGAACGTTATATCAATTAGGTAACGTACAAACTAGATACGAGCCAAAAAACTGGTCGGGTGTTTTCCGGAGAAATCTTACGCAATCTTGGAATTCCCGCAGCTACCGTAGCGTATTTACTTTGTACGTCACTGAATAGACAAAGTTCATTGTGTTATGTGCAATTTCGTTATAAAATTCGCTTTTATTACAATGTAAATTGAGTCTTAAGTAGAAGACATTATAGCCTATGTGTATAAATGTATTAGTTTTCAAATGAAATTGTGTTTCAAACAAAATACAAACATGGTGGTCAAGATAACAAAGTAATATAGTAACTATAAATATATTTCGCCAAAAATAAGATAGACATGCAAAAAATTGATCGTCACATGGGGCAAATTAAATTATTTAATCAGTATTACATTAATAATAATAGTCACAGGTATTTAAATTTATTTAAATTCTTTTATATAAGTAATAATAATTATTGGAACAATTTCCCTAACAGTTTATCCTTTATCAACAATTCATATAATTTCGTCTTAAATAATTGAATGGGCAAGTCTTTAATGTCATTTGGTACGCTATTGTAAATTCTGACACATATGTACACAAACAAGTTTTGATTATATTTTTCTATCTTAAGTACTTCAAAAATCTGTTAGAATTTGAGGAATTTCGGGGGTTGATCTCAATATTTTTTAATAAATAAATGTAATTTTTTTTACATTTAAACAGTGTACATTTACCAGAGGAATTCACGTCCTCTCGCTTCGAGAGTTTTGTAGGAATTGATACACATGATGATAAATAAATAAGCACGTCCTCTCGCTTCGAGAATTTTGATGAGGATGACGGAACGAACCAACGTTAGCATAATGAATGAAAAGGAATTATTCGAGAACTATTTAAAATTTTAAAAGTAGGTGGCCAGGAATCGGTAAAAAGCGTGATAAAAAAGAGGTCATCGTCACAATATATTTAAAAAGACTCATCTCACGTGCTGTATTTATACTTTACAGGTAAAACCTGGCGGCAAAGTACCGAAGAAATACTACACCAAAAATTTGGCTAAAGAGACAGAAAAAGAGTACACACACGTAAACATCAAAACTGGAGAGAAACATACAATCGATTTGCTGTGCCCTGATGACACCGAGAGCGTATTAAAGTGGGTTCTAGAGCCAAATTCAAAGTTTTTACAAATAGATTACTTATAGATGAAGTCTTTAGAAGTCTTCAAAGTGCGAACAACGGTTGTTTAACAACTTACTTATAATCTGTCTTTTTTGAATATGAAGTAATATGACAGTTCATGTCGCAAAAGTGTTGCCCGCTTGCAAGCAGCTAGTGATTGCAGGCGATAAAATATTCTATCGACTGAATGTTGGTTACGCTTATTCAATATATAACCGAGCTAGTTTCATTTGAGTCGTCAATTTTTGTAAGTTTGTACATACATACATACACTACACTTAGGACTATTCAAATAAAATACAAAAGTAGACATATTTCAATATTTTTCATTTTAATCTAATATAGATAATCAAATTAACGTACTTTTATTAAAATGTATGTAAATAAAAATATATTCCGTTATTAGTATCTTATTTTGACAGTTGACCAACTAAAAAAAAAAAATTAAGAAGGCTAACGCAATTAGTAACCATTACAACGTCGTGACATACACAATTCAGATATTTTTGGCAAATTTTTACCTTCTTTCACAATCTATCGATAAAACTGTCGACAAGAACTACATGACTATTTAAAATTAATTTATTAAAACTAGAACCCTGCTAATGAAGGAATGCATAATGTGTATCCATTGACATACAAATAAATGGACGACGGGTCTAATACAAAAACCACGAAAAAAATGTCCCAAGTCAACCTATTTAAACGTAGTGACATGTAAAGGAATAAATGTCATCGCAGCACTGTCTAATTTTGCTTGCTTCGCTGTCAGTCGAACAAACGAAGACTAAAGCGCGAATGACGCTCTGTATACGATTTTAACGCCCTATAAGTTCGGACACTTTTTAGCGCGGACCCGACGTCCATATCATTGTAAGTCAATGTGTGTATCGGTTTTTTTATACCTTTAATTTAATTTAATGAAAGTCAGTCGTTTTCACAGTTTTTTGAAGTTCTTAAATAAAAATTAACAATTAATGGAAAATAAAAATAAAATCTAAAATATTTCGCAGATGGGAATTCGGCATTGATAGTCACGAGATTAAGTTCCTAATCAAACGACGAGACGAAAACGGACACGAAGAGACAGTCCACGGGCCTAGGAAGGTCACAGAAGGCCCAGTCGATGTTGGCGTCATCAATGTCACTGGACCCGCTACGTGTAAGTAAATTTTTCTTAGCTGTTAAGTTTTTATTACAGTTCTGATTTACTTTGGCCTATGAAAAGAGACATTAATTTAAAAAATTGTTCTTTCAATTTGGTAACTATACAGCGTGTTTTTTTTCATTGAGACAATATGAGGAAATCCGAAACTGTAGGAGATACACGGAACAGATAAGTTGTCAAGCCCCATGTGCCTGTAATCTCACCAGGACCCTTACCCTTCAAAACCGGAACGCAGTAATGCTCACATTACTGCATCGCGGCAGAAATAGGTACAGGGTCACGAGCACGTCGAGCTCTACACTTAAGACTTAAATCCAACTCTATGTCGTTTACGTTAAGAAGGCCCAAAGTACACAGTGTCAGCTTGATGTGCTCTTGACTGTACGGTGGTAATACCCTGGACGAACTCTTTCACAAGGAGCTCTCCTGCTACTAAATCCCCATACTGTCTCCGTTAAAAAAACACTCTGTATAATTAGCCGATCATTTCCATTCAATTGTTTTCCTTGAATAAGGTTCCGCGTTTTGCAATGGCACAAACGCAACAATGAAAAAACAATAGTCAATATCAAAGTCACAAACAATCAGTGAGCATAAATAATTTGTATATGCATAAATTGTAAGTATGTACAAGATATCACTGCAAACAATCGTCATATTTATCAGACAGTGTAACAGATTATTAATCAACTTATTGAATCTAACTAAACCCGTCTTTCGATAGTCGCACTTATTATAAGCTAATTTACAATTATTTATAACATTTTGCCCTTACTGCTCCTCTATCTATTATTTAATCAAAGACTTCTTATGTGAATAAGTAGATATAAGCGTTTGATGTAGTATGCTAAAAGTTGGCTAGTTAGTCAAGCTTAGCTCAGTTCGACGAACGACAGAAACAATCGGTCAAAGTAGTTTATTTTTTCCATCTACTAAGCGGTGTGCAGTAGGTGTGTCGTGGGCCTAGCTAATGGCGTCGTCCGCCATATTTTTTGTATTATTTGTACAAAACTACCGTACATAATCATTTTTACTTGACATTGGCGAAATATTGGCGAAATCATCGATAGAGCCATAACGTTTAAAAGAAGAAGAAATCTTCTAAGCAAAATACAAAGATGTGATCGTGTGTTACGAGATTAGGTACAAATTACTTGTAAAGCATTGCATATTTATTATTGTGCCGTTTGTGGTGCACATTTTTTTTTAACTGCTTCCGTGATCCGGCCACGCAGAGGTCCTGGGTTCGATTCCCAGGCCGAGAGAAATATTTGTATGGCCTACATTTATTTCTCTCGTGAGTTTGGGTGTAATTTGTTGTTGTCTATGTGTGTCTATGGCACCCGCGACACAGGGTTTCTCTAGTGCGGCTATGAGTGTGTAACGTTATTATTGTTATTATTATTTACTTTATTTATTTTTATTTATTATTAACTTTTTTTCTCATTAGCTTACAAAATTAAAATTTCCTTACAGATACAGTCATCTTCGACAACAAAAGTTCGTTTATTCGCAGCAAAAAGATTTACTACGATGTGTTAATCGCTGTTCCTTCTCGTGACCTCGAGATCACTGATGAACCAGAGGATGGCGCGAGCGGTTCCACGACTCCTTAATAAAAGATAATTTCCATTACGTTATAAAATTTAGTAGGATATATATTTTTTTGGCTATAGCCTAAAGGCCGCATTTACTTAAGGTTCGCGCGCTTATATTGAAAACAGTGCGATAACAATTAATAAGTATAACGGCGTATAATGTAGTTTTTTAAGCAACAAAGAGCAACAGGAGCGTTTACTGTGATATTTCAATAAAATTTGTGCTACTGTAAGTCCAGCAATGGCTAGTTATCTATACCAACTGGCTGTGAAAATTAACAAAGAACAATAACTTATGAATAGTAGGCATATTATAGGTTATTGTTCTTTGGAAATGAAAAACATATTTTTTTCGACACCCGTAAACAATGTTAAGATGTTAATTGTATCTGCAAAATAGATCATTTCCTTTTTGTCTTCAAACTAGACGCTTGTAGAAGTGTGTGTGGCGCCACTGTGGCGCTGCAGCCGCGCAACTAATAATTTTCATACATTAGAAACTCACCTGTGCAACGCCACAGTCGCGCCACTTTTGCAGACTAGATATTGTATGAAAATTACGCGCCACTGCAACACTTCTATAAGCATCTAATTAGAAGGCGCCTTAAGTGTAGTTCACATACAGTTTGAAATTCTATATGAAAGTAACATTTTATTACAAAAACTACACTTTCATGAGATTATAATCTTGTATTTAAAATATAGTTTTAATGGCGATGAGGGTTTTATTTTTAAGCTTTATGAAACTTAGGAGCGTAGCAACTACAATAGTTGGGGATAAGAGTATTGTTGATTTAATTGTTATTATTTGTACACAAATAATGTATTGAGAGTTTTGTTACCCTGTAATCCGTTTTATATCAACGCAGGTACAGTGCGCACGCACTAAAGTACGACGTATTTGCAGTACGTTCCAAATTCCCTGTGTACCACCGAGAAGTACCATTGTGGTACTAGTGATGTTTTTTTCCCCACTAGTACTATCATACGAATTGTTGATTCACGGTAGTACTAGTGAGAAAATTTTGTACCACTAGTTTTTGTGTAGCGACAGAAAAAACAAAACTAAGTTATTTTGTATTGTTTCTAGCTACGTGGCGCATCGGTTTGTGTTATCAACTAACAACAACATTGAAATAACATTCCTGAAGCACGATATATCATATGTCATCAGCGTTTCGTCATAATCATCTTACCCAGATTTTCGTCTTCAAATTAGGTATAACAAGCGTAGGACCGCTGCAGTAGCGCGTGATTTTTATACAATATCTAGTCCGCAAAAGTGCAGCTGCGCTTCTATTTATTGCATGAAAATTATTAGTGGCGCGTTCACAGCGCCACAGAGACGCCATAGACACGCTTCTTTCTTGAAGCGTCAAATTTGAATGCGTCCAGGATTTTTGTAGATTTTTGCCTAATGAATGTTTTTTCAATTCTTTCCGTTAAGAAAAAGGCAAAGGTTTAACACCATACAGCCAAGTCTTTGCGAATCTTACTTTTGCTAGATTAGGGTACATAGGCATAAGCCAAGTCTTCGATCCATTACATTTCATAAGTATTAAGGCTCAACAACAAATTTTTTTATGACAAATACGAACAGCATGCGGCAGCCCATCTTTGTCTACATTTTACTTCTTTATTGTTTATTGTCACCAGTTTAGTGGACTGGTAAACAAGTGTATTTTTGTCAACTAATATAATATGTACAAGAATTTTAGATGAAAATTTAAAAATGACTGATTAATATTGTAAACAAAATATTATACCTTCAAATACAAGCATATCTTAAATTTGAACGCCTTTCATTAAAACTTTTTGGTTAAAACTAAGCAATACTATTGAAATCCCTCGCTGCTAGGTTACAAGAGGGTACTTAACCAAGAAAACAAAATATAGTAAAATAGTATTTATTCAATTGACAATGTACTTATAAATTATAAAATGTTACGCCATATATATATGTACATATTTATAGGTATACTGTATAATATGAAGTGTAAGCTTACGTGGATTTTCGATATTATTTATGTAATTTACTCATCTTCAAACATCATTTCAATCAGCTGAGCTTTGTTACATTGACTCCCTTCTAATCTTTGGACTCCGTTCCATTTAATTATTGTCGGTATAACCATAAGCTTCGTTCGAGTGTCTGTTCTAAAGGGACATTGAGGATTTTTCCAGCTGTAACAAAATTGGAATTTGATAAATACGCTATAGTAATGAATGCTATGCTAAAAGCCGTGTAGCCTAATGATTTAGTTTGACATACCACCTCTCCAGAAGGTCACAGTTTGATAATAATTAATAATAATATGTTAAGCACGTTAATTGATAAAATATTCACAATTGTCACGGGAAAAAGCGTTTTTCACGAGTAACCAACGTAGGTCACAATGCGAGATTCTGCTCGCCGCACGCCAGATGATCCGGCTCGAAGGATCAAAATGTAGGGTGAGCCTACACTAAATGATAATTGATATGTATATTAAGTTAAATGATAGACTGATTTACTGATATTGATAATGATATAATGATCGACTCGAGTGTCCGATGTACAATTATTGAAATACACGTACACGCATACGCCACGCGTAAGGCAATATTGCAGCATACATATTTTTATAATGTAAAAAAAATATACGGTCAATAACCTACATATATTAACCGTATACCGTGGGTTTGTAATCCGGGTTCGCACCCCCGAATTTCTCGGAATGTATATGCGAAACTTTAATTTGAAATTTACCATGAACTTTTCGGAGAAGCGAAACATCGTTATGAAACCTGCACGTCGAAGGTTCACTACCCTCAGAAAACGTGTGAAGTCCACGACACGCATTGGATCAGCGTGGCGGACTATGGCCTAATACCCTCGTCTGAGAGGAAACCCGTGCCCAGCAGTGGGACGTATAAATGATGATGAATGTATGCTATTACAATAAGTTATTCCACTTCGTGTTGCACACCGTTTGCGACCACGCATCAGCAGTGTTTATACTAAACGTAAGCTTTATATGGGGAAATCGTCAGCATGAATTGAAAGATGATGTAGCTGTTATAGAAACTGGCAAGCAAATAAAGGCCTCAAAATGGTGAGCTTCACTCAGCGGCGGAAGGTAACGCTTAAAGAAGAGACTAGATTGTGTCAAATAAATATACAAAAATTGCCTTTACTCGTAGAATAAAAATAGTGTTATCAAGATGGTTAAATGTATTCTAAAAATACCAGCCGATAGACAAAATATTTGAGTCAAGAAGTTTACCAAAATAAACTAATATACGTGAGTTGTTATACGTAAAATTTGTTAAAAAACTATTTTGAAATAATTAAAAGAATATGAAATGATATGAACCACAATGTTATCATAAAGTTTTATCAAACAGCCTTCAACAATATCTGATTACAATAGTTATTTGAAGAATATATTATTGTTTTGAGAATATTTGGCCCGTGATATTGGCAGGCTATAATTATGATTACGCGGACGACAATACGTTGATAAAACAATGCTTTTGCTCGGCGCTTTCAAGGACAGATAGTAGCGAGAGGATAGATAAGTTTCTATTTTTGTTGTTTCCAATGTTACGCCATGGTACCAGCCCTAAGATAATAGTTAAATACCAGTGTTTTGCTTCACAGTCATCAGCCTATAGCAGTCCACTACTGGACAGGCCTCTCGCAATGTGCACCATTACGCCCGGTCCTCAGCTTGTCGCAATTATCTGCTGCCAGCAGTCTTTTGCGAATCATCGTACTTACCAAGTTTGCCGAGCCGTGGTCTCCACTTAAGCACGCATTTCCCCTATTATAGGTTCTTAGTTCAGTTATCGGGTCTTCTACAAATATGGCTAGCCTAATACCACTTCAGCTTACTTATTCTATCAACTATGACGATCTTAGTTCTCAGTCGGAGTTCGGAATCTAATTTCAAATCTTATCCTTCAATGAATATCCGAGAATAACTCGTGCCATAGCTCACCAATAGCCGTAACGTGACTGTCAAGGTTCCGTACCTATGTCATAACGGGTAGAACACACCGATTGAATACACTTGATTTCAACTTTGTAGTATGGGTGATAAAAAGACCCAACGTAATTTTCCAAAAAGTATCGTTATAATTTTAATTTCTTGGTCTTATTTCACTGTTGGTTTTAGGTCTGTTTCTACTTTTAATTTGTTTCATATTGTTTTTGTCACAAGCGCCCTTTGAACTAACGGTGGCAGTATATGACTGCCCCAAAGAAAAACCTAGAAAAAGTATTTTTTACTTCTTTAAAAATAAACAGTTGGTAAGGTAATGTTAACAAAATTTTTTGGAGAGATTTTATCCTTATCATTGATCCTATAGATTAGAACATTAAAATAGAGAGTATTTATTTTGGAATTTTTAGTTTATTCGATTCCCGGCTCGGGTAAACATTTCAACTAATCTAAATGAATGCCGTAATTCCCATAAAGAGAAATTAAGAATATTTCCTTGAAATCAGCTATTTTAATCATTTGAGGCAGTTCCCATTCATGTTCATTATTTTTTTCCACTCTGTACATAATAATTGTTTTGTAGAACAGCTTGAGGTCTCACGTCGCGCTACATCTTCCGCGCAAGAAGGCGCTAAAGCTAAACTACTGTAAAATCTAGCATGCCTCAAATACTTGTTGTTTTGAACTAGTTGGTTTTTAACTGGTCACGAAGCGGACTAGATGTCCCTTACTACAATTTAAGGTTTTTACATTTCTGGTAAATTGTAGGATTTTGAAGTGGCTGTCACTGCAATTTGGTGAGTAATTAATATGGGAGTAAAAAAAATATTTTGAAAAAATTGGTCCCTTACTAAATTTTGCTCTGGGGCAACCATATATATCTATTTATATAGTGTGTAGACGCTTATAGATGCGCAGCAGTGGCGCCACTGTAGCGCTGCAGCCGCGCCAGTATTAATCTTCGTTACGATATTTAGAGGCGCTGTCGCAGCACCTCTAAAATTACTGAAGCTTCTACGCTTCTACAATGGTCTAAGTTGAAGGCGCCCCTAAAAGCAGTTTGTTTAGGTTTACTTGTGACTGAATGTACTTCCTGCTAGAAATGTGAACGTCTTTTTTCGAAATTGTTTGATTTTTTAATTTAAAAAAATCTGGTTTCTTCCTCTGATACTCACTATTCTCTATCGCCGACATCGACGAAGACAAATACAACGTGTTTGTGAATCCCATTTAGAACATTTTTCACTACTGGCTCCGCTGTAACAAAATAAAACTAAAATTACCTATCAAAAGACAGTCTTTATTTTATAGATAAGTAAGTTACACTTGAAATCATATTGATTAACCTCCTAAGACCCAGCGTTTTAAAAACTTTGTAGGGCTACAGACCCACTGTACAATTTTTCGTACATAATAAATATTTGTTGTCAGTCCCAGATCTACTTTACTTTGTAACTTTGAAATTCGAAGAGCTTTATGTGTGATACTATTTTTGCATATGTATACTATACACAAAGGTTATAATGACTTATATTAAATTCACTTATCATTTGTTCAAAGAATTGTACATTGGGTCTGAATCCACTGTTCCAACACAAAAGTTCGAACTAAAACTTAACATAAAATAAAAGACAGAACTTTTCAGAATGTTGTATAATTATAGCAAACATTATGAGTTTTATCTTAAATAATTAGTATTATTAATTTTTCATAGGAACTGTATCAAAGATTATAAAATATTTAAAAAAAACAGATCAATTACTCTGCTCTTTGGCAAAATTAACAAAATAAACTTGTATTCCTCAAATTAAAAACTAAATTGAAATCTTAATTCTTTGGCAGACATTAGTAACGCTATTTTGCGAAATCAAATAAGAATTTGCCATATATAACTCTACTGGACTAGCTCATGAAATTGCTTGTAACAATTTCGATTGGAAGTTAAACAAAGAGCTACATCGCAGGTACTACATTTCGCTGTAGTTCTCTTATTGCAGCCTGGTTGACGGCACCTATTTGGTACTCCCACAAAGATAGGCAGGTGTGGCCCATTTAATCTCCGCATCTTGGAAGGAAGAGGGACTACCGCTGGTCTACCTCGTTGGAAAGTGAGACCTGTTGTGCAATAAAATGAACAAATAAAAATCATTAGGATATGAAAGTGAGACCCGATGTGCAAAATAATGAACAAATAAAAAGATCGTTATGCAAATCTCCTGATTATGAACTGATCATTGAAATTATTATTTGCAAATAGTTTGCCATCTTTTGTTTACACACTGCCCAAAAATCTGACATGACAACAATAAAGATTCATTAGATTTATCAAGATTTAACTTACCTTTCCCTCGCGCAGGTGCCATGTTTGAACTTTTTCACCATATGATTTTGACAGTTCTAACTTTTTTTTTTATTTGCTGCGCTTAAATAATTAAAATATATCTAAATGAACACTATGGTCTGTCAAAAAAAAGTCCGCGAAGGTTTAAAAAGAAACGTGAGACATTTAAATAATTTGTACAAAAAATTGTACCGTGGGCATTTACTACTACGGATTTTTTTTTACGCTGGGACTGACGAGTTGACTTTGTTATGTACAAAATTCTGTACAAGGGGTCTTAGGAGGTTATACCATTCTGTTTATTCGTCATTGCAGATGCCCTTGACAAGAATTAGCAAAAAACTCTAGTTCCTGTTTATAAATAAACATTTGTACACATTTATCATTTACAATATTTATTCCAAACATCGGAGATCGAAACAAACTGCAAGAGCTAAACGGGTCATTACCACGGATTTTCGTCATCCAAGTACGCAGAAGCTGTATAATAGTAACCTTTTCAGGCTCAACTCACATTGGCGCAGAGTCGAAGCGTCGCGACGCATCATGTTTTTCGCCCATAGCATATTCATCTCTATTTTCCCATTATTACAATTGTAGAAGATACATTGAATGAATTTGTGACTTTATTAAGACAACTGTCAAGAGCATCTAGTTTAATTTAATTCCTCGTGTTAACGTTATTATTTTTTATGTAATAATATGTATAATATAAATAAATAATATGACACAAATAGATATCGGAACAGATAATACATTCCTCTGTAATTTTTGTATTGTATTTTGTACTATACTTTTGATGTATAAGTAAGTAATTACTTCACAAAGGTAAAGTATTGAGAAGAAAAGTTTTGTAAGTTAAAATACAACTGTTTTGGTTTAATTTTTTGTCTTTAATTTAAAATCATTCCGGGATTTGAGAGGGACGTATATTACCTTTAAACATAACTTAAAGTACGCGTAAACATACTCTATATATTCCGATCTGTGATAGTAAGTCAATTGCAAAAGGCATTTATAGTCCACAGATTTGCTGGCATTCTTCATGCTGACCGTCGGCGCTGATAGCTCAATATGTATGAACTGCTTCGAAAATAATAACAATATGTATTATGAAGCGTTCCTGAGTGGCGCTGATTGGTTAGCACTAACAAGCATCAGCGCTGAGCCGTGCGTAACACTCTTCCACAGCCTGTGAACGTTTTTGTTACGTGCTGAACGCACGCGTCGACAAATACTTGTGGGACGCTTCCGATTTATTATTCAAATAAACGGAGACGTGCGCAACAAAACCTGGGATGACATCGTCGTTGCACTCTTTAACATCGCGGTGATCGGCTCGATACAAAACGACTCGAGATGATCGGTAGATGTTGATTAGCTACGCGACGACCGTCAGTGCCGGAGATCAGCGTGAAAAGAGAACCAGTAGTAATAAAAAACCTTCCTTTTACTTACTGGACGTGCCCTTTTTATGATATCGCCCGCCAAATGTTTAAAACGCCAACGCCTGTATCGGTTCGCACTTGAGACTGGTGAAGTTCCCAGGTCGGTCGTGGAAGCTTGCAAACGTGCAACCTGTGCCCAAAAAAGGAAGCAAAGCTGACCCTGTCAATTATAGACTTATCTCAGTCACTTCCATACTCTGCAAGACTATTGAACGTGTACTCAACAACCGTCTCCTGTCATACCTTGAAGACAAGTGACCTCCTCAGTGATCGCCAGTACTGATTCCAACGATGGGTATCTTCTTGTGTATGCCTGTCACATATGGAGCGAGGCTATAGAAAAGCAAGGCGAAGTACTTGCAGTGTCTTTGGACATTTCTAAAGCCTTTGACAGGGTCTGGCACGCAAGCCTTTTAAGCAAGCTTCCATGTTATGGGCTTCCCACTGACCTATGCAATTGGATCTCGGATTTCTTGAGTGAACGTTCCATTCGAGTGGTCTTAGAAGGCTACTCTTCCGAACTTATGGCGATAGATTCCTCAGGGTTCCGTACTGTCCGCAACTCTCTTTCTGCTACATATCAAAGATATGTTAATTCCTGGTACCTTTGCGTATGCTGATGACAGCACAGTTGTAGATAGATACTTGACCAATTGCAAGCGTCAGTGGAGAGGAAATCCAGTCTTGTCGAGAGTCCATGGTTAGTCGTTTAGATTTGACGCTCAAGGCAGTCTCCGATTGGGGCGATGCCAATCTTGTCAAATTTAACGCTACCAAAACGCAGGCGTGTCTATTCTCCACAAAACGGAGTCCCTTTGAGCTGACTCCGACATCCATACCGATAGCCGACCGTCTCCAGCTACTTGGCATGGACCTGTCGTCCAATCTGAACTTCGGCAGATACATTGAATTCATGGCCAAAAATGCAGCCAGGAAATTTGGCATCCTTTCCAGAGTGAGGCGTTACTTCACATCAAGACAGTTACTTCAGCTGTATCAAGCACAAGACCGGTCGTGTATGGAGTACTGCTGCCACCTTTAGGATGGCTCTGCTACATAGCAACTGGCCACCTTGGATTTAATTGACAAGCGTGCCAAGAGGCATATAGGTGACTCGGAATTAGTAGAGGCGAAGCTGCAGAGCATTGAACACTGCCGTAAAGTTGCCTGCTTATCGGTATTTTACAGGGTATATCACGGAGAGTGTGCGATGGAATTACAAGATTTAATTCCGCCTTCCCCTTTCCATCATCGGGGGACTAGGTGTACGCTTGGCTTCCACCCCTATGTTGTGGACATTCCAAAGATTCGCACGAAGCGTTACGCTTCCACATTTATTGGGCGAACGACTATGGAGTGGAATGATAGCATTCTAGGTTAGGCTATGGATTCCCTGCCTACAGACTTGTTCCCTGAACGTTATATCTTGGACCTTTTCAAGGCGAGAGTGAATAGGCATTATTTAGGTGCGCGTGCTCCATCGTCGACCTCATCGTCACTTTCCATCATGTGAGATAGAGGTTAAATGCACACTTACATTTGAATAAATAAAAAAGTATTTAAGTTTTCTTCATTTTTGAGAAGTATCAGAAACTGGAATATACTTTCTAATGAAATAATTTTAATGGAAACCAGTGTCATAATAGTCATAGAAAATCATGACTAACCTAATTGGCAATAAATACACCAGCTTCTACCATTTTCTTTCTTTTTACCCGCAAAGTAGAAATAGCAGTTTGATGTTTGTGGAGGCAACTTTTCTACGTAATCATTAAACTCCTCGTAAGTAGCCAATTCAATTAATTTTGGCTTGATTCCTTGGCGAACCATTGTTTTAAGATACTCAAATTAATTTTCGGCCTTATTCACTTTATGACGTGGCACTTAATTCATGAAACTTCAAATTGACAATTTATCTAGAAGCTGCCGAAACGTTAAAAATAAAAAATTAACACTCTGGATTCCATGGAGATTTTATTAAAAAATTCTTGTTAGTATGCAAATATTGTTTGTAAATTGTTAGGACCTCGGCTCCGACTACCTATTTACAGTCTTTGGAGTCGAAACTCTTGGCCCTTGTGTCCTTCATCTGTACAATATTTTATCCAAAAAATTAATACTGTCTGGAAAACCCAAGGGCCGCAGCTACCTTGCCCAATGCATTCGCTCTCTTTTACTACTCGCCCTAGTCTTACTTTGTACTATTTAACCTTTTATTGTACCTTACCTGTATATGTATGAAAGTATTATGTTATAAAATGTATTAAGTCTATTATATTTGTACATAATACATCTTGTACTTATTTACATCCTCTAGTAAACACACATACTCTAGCACCCTTTTTACATCTCTTCTCGCAACGTAAAATCACCAATAAAATCTTCCGGAGTAAGATCACCACCGCCTTCACTGAATCGCCTTTGTTGATATACTGACAAATATAGAGATAATAATAGTAATAATAATA